TTGACACGCGACCTTCCTTTCCTATCCATCCTATTGCCATCATATGTAATCCTCTTTTTGTGCTTCACAAATAGAATACAGTCGGCAACTTTGTCCTATATCAATTACGACTCAAATAATTTGTTCTTATGCTTGGCTGGAAAATACTTTGCATTTTTTGTCGTTGTATAAATTACTCAGCATGCTTTGCAGACTGTGTGAGTTTCAAGATGCTCTTACAGATTCACAATAGTATGGAAGGTGTTAGGGTTAATATTTCTTATCCACAGCTTAGGGTTATTATTTCTCATTAAGACATTCTTGAAAGATTTCTAATAACTTGTTTTGTTGCACCAATGCTCCAACAATACAATCAATGATTAAAACTTTCAAAAACAGAAAAAACAAAGAAAAAAGAAATAGTAAGAAATGAGAATGGAAGGCAATTAAAAAGCTGTAAACTTCAATACGGGCGTATTTATCACCTTCTCATTTTCTGCCTGTATTTTACTATCTTTTTGCCCACTTCTGCTCTCGAAATTATAATCCAAAAATTATTATTTGGATGAGTTTGCTTTATTTATTCGGTTTTCCTTTGATCAATGCAGTAGTTTACCTTTTACAAATATACTCATCCATACTCGCTACCGTATCCAAATAGATGAGATCACTGCCACACTCCCACTACCAACTTTTAAATATCGCACCAACTACTTCGTAGTGATTCACAAATTTTTGAGGGAAAATATCAATGCTGAGGCAGTAAATTTCTTTGTTCCAAACATTCTTTTCCTTTTATTATTCACTGCATAATTTATTCATATTAATTAGCATTTCCATTTCAGATTTTTCCTTTCATTAATAATGTTTTTTGCGAAAATTCTCGATTTCCCAAAAATTGTCCATAACATTTTTGTTCATAACATAACTTTAAATTAACTGAAATAAATTTCAAATTTAGCTGAAAATGATGGACCGGAAACATCGGGAACAAATTATTTGGAAGGAGAGGGAATCGGAGAGAGAAGTGGAAATGTAACTGATGATGGAAATTCTGAAAAAAATGGAAGAGTACGACGAAATAGAACAAGTTTCAGCAGTGAACAGCTTGAGATTCTTGAGGCGGCATTTAATACTAATACTTATCCTGATCAGGATGAACGGGAACGAATTGCTATGAAAACAAGCCTTAGTGAGGAAAAGATTATGGTATATCAATCTCCTTTGCATTTTTTAAATGATTAATTATTTACATGCAATCAGCCATGAATAATCAAAAATGATAAAATTATTGATTAAGTTTACTTTTGATCAATAGTTTTGTTAGTTGAGATTTTGGAAAAAAAATCGTTTTAGTCTCTTTTGAAGGAAATCTTTTTATTATCTCGATGTTTGTATTAAATCACAGTGAACATTTAATTTTCTGACACAAAATTATTACTTTTCAATTGTCCGCATATTTTAAATGATACAAATTAAATGAAAATTTCTTATAAATATTCATAAAGAACTATTAATTTCTAGACGTGGTTCAGTAATCGACGAGCACGTTGTCGAAAAAATTTTGCCTTTACGGGTAGCAGTTCACTTCTGGTTCAAAACGTTGCGCCAATGCCTATTATACATCCTCGGCCATCCATGCGACAGGTTTGTAAATCAATTCTTTTTTAGATATTCGAATATCACTTTATTCATTGACAAACATTTCTAAGCACTATTTTCAATCTTTTGATTTCAAGTACAGTACTATGATAATTAGCATTCAGAATTATTCTCTTGAAAAAAAACAAACGATATTAACTAAAAATTTGCCATATTAGATATCCAAGCTTTCATTTATAATGGATAAAAATTATACTAAGGGATAAGCTAATAATAATTTGATAGATAATCTGATGGTAGCTTAAGAAATGATAAGCCATTATTAGTTATTTCCGCAAAATCTCTTCCACGATTAATAACAAGCAGCTGAAATCATCCGTCTCTTAATCAGTTAAGCTAAATTACCATCCGACAGAAGGTGGCAATTTGTAATTACTCATTATGTCGACAAGTGAATTTAAACATACTTAAAACTCAAAAAAGTTTATATCAACCCGAAAGAATAAGTGTTAACAGTAAAGAAAAGAGAGAAAGGAAAAGATGTATATTTCTTGTGATTATATATTGTTTGACTGACACAATAAAATTGATAAATTTAATGATTAAGTTATTTAAGATTTCATTTCAATGGTAATATCGCAGAGTATATTGCTTTGAATGGAAAAAAACCATTGTTAGCAGATGGGAAAAATTGTATTTCAAATTTAAAAGTTATTGACCAATATTTTAAATTTTAGCTTTAAAATTCAACTTCCGATTGACTTCTAAAACTTTTTTTTCAGTCCGAAACTATACCACTATTTTCATCGCAAATGAATTTACTTCCATATCCTGTCTGCTCAACATCACCAGTGAAAATTCAAGATCCATCGAGGGCATCAATTCTTTTTTATTCGCAGTATGCATCTATATGAAACTATTTCGACATTAAAATAAATAGATATCAACAATGATGTTTTATTGTATTCATTTCTTTTTTGTTCTGATACAGAATGAAAATGCTAGATCAATCGATTTTAAATTTCTATTTTATGTAAGCAAGTAGATATCACAAAAATTAAAAGTTTTTCCATGAAACAAAACCGGAAGCATGTGGTATTTCATCTATGATCTATGTTAACTACACACAAACAGGTGTACAAATTGAAGTTTTCATTCATTTTGTCATTTCCATTTTCGTCATGAAATGAATGAACAAACGAAATAGCTATTGTTGTAATATAATGTAATTATTGATGAATTTTCGATAAATATAATTTTGTTCCATTAACTTTGCATTCGGATTTCATTTTCTCTTTTCTAGGCTAGAAAGCTATTGCGATACTTTTTTTAGGCTTTATATGATACTGTCATTAAATACACGAGTCTAAATAAAGATTTTTATAGCTGAACGAGGAGAATTAAACAGTGTTTGAAGAAAGGCCCATTCACTTTTAACCTACCATATTTTGGAAAAGGAAAATTATATTATAGGACTAATCAGCGTAGAAATAATATCATAAAATGCCTGAAATCGTATAGACACATTCTTTTGCAACAAGCGCTATTTTGAAAAATCATCTCTCATTATTGCTATGGAGTGAACCCAGCCGATCTGCTACTCAGTCGACAAAGTGCAAAAAAGTTATAGTGGCCCAACAACATGAATGGCCATGATTAGCAGTCTAGCAATATTGGTGGCATCCCAACAAATATCAATCACAACTATCTAGCATCATGAATTTTGCAGTATTATCACTTTATTGCCAATAGATTTCTTCCCCACGTGGAATATCATTAAACAAATTAATAAAAAGAGTTCTCCATTCATTGTTAGCAATAATGCAAACAAATTTTAGTGACAAGTGAAATTGTCACAGACATGACCATTTGACTATTAGACTTCACGATGTGACTTTTTTAGCATGCGTAATCCTATTGTTTTAGAATGTTTGGTTAGGTGTGAATGACCCTAAACGGGTCACGTTTTATTTGATAGCGTAACTTCCGATGATATGCTGATTTTTACTATAGTTTTAGAAAGCAGCGATCTTTTAGTTGTGGTAGAAAATATGTCTCATGTGGATCTTTTAGTTTGAAAATACGTATCTTTTTGGAAAACGCTTTTCAGAAGTATTAATTTTTTGAAAATTTTGATGATAATAATATGCTATTCTTTATTCCTTATTGCATTTTCCAAATCTCTGTTTTACCTATCTGATCTTTCTTCTTCATCCATTATTTTTACTCATTTCGACACACACACACACTCAAATGGATCATACGATTTTGTGGGTTCGATGATGAATTAATTAATATTTGCCTTGATCTTCACAAAATGCGAAGAAATGATAACGATCAACTAAAGTGTGTACTATTATATTTCGCACATCACAGCGGTGAGAATGAATATTAAGATGAGAGGTGTAAGTAACCTTGTCATATGACCTACCGCTGTTTGCACATGCATACACCTCAGAAAGATCGTAATATTGATAAGGATTTCCAATGAACTTAATGACTGACTGAGTAACTGACTGACTGACTAACTGGAAGGATAGCCGAAGAATAAATAATTGAGAAATTCAATGATTAATTGACAAACTGTAAAATTTACAGAATACTTTTTTTAAAGACTAAAAGTAAAATTTACGAGCCTGAATAAGATATTTCCATGAATTTGAAACGTTGCAATAGCTCATATTGCTCTTTCGGATTATATTTCACATACTGCATTTTGAAACTTCTCTTTTATGAGGAAAATAGTTTTGACAATTAATTTGCAGCGCTTATATAAGATTCCGAAGATAAAAGATAATACAAAAATCTCGCAAGCAAATAAACCTTTGATCCACTCTGATCTCCGACAAATTCTTCGTTAATATATTCTGGATCAATTAAATTTAGACATAATTTATTGTCTGATTAGATTAAAGCAGATTTTATCGGATATAATTAAGTTATATTTATTCGAAGCTACAGGCCTGTTCACAATAAAGTATGATGTTCCGCTAATGATCATCAAAAGATACCGTTGCTAATGACATTGTTTCCAATTATTAGTTATCCTTCCACAACAGAAAAGGAATAACATCCAAATAATCATAGAGTTTAGGTATTAAGTGTTAGTTTTAAAATTCTAAAAAATGCAAATCCCGGAGATTAGGGAGATTTTTCTCTATCAATAGTTGAAGTGGACATTTAGCAGAAGAGAGGGAATTCAAAAAAAGGAGATTTTAACAGAAGATATCGGTAGATTCACACCAAAGAATCTGTAAGGATCAATTAAAGGAATGAATAATAACAATATCTTAAGCTGAGGATGCTCTGATAGCTACAGCACTGTTTCACTGATATCATTATATTTCACTTCATTCATCAATCATCAAACCTTTGCTGAAAAGGTCGTTTGGTACTTTTCTCATATTAATTTATCAAATATCTAAGTGTAATTTATTTGAAACCAATTATCGCTTTCTTCCCTACACAGTTAACGTAATCAAAGAGAGTGTGATGTGTATCTGTGTGGTTGAACAAATTGTCCTTGTTGTGGTTGGCCTCTCTTTATGTCATTCAATATTTTTTACACTCCAAATCATCAAAATCAAAGCAAAAAATCATTGAAAACTGTAAGGTCAAAAAAAATTACCACTTTTTCATTTTTCTTCATGAGCAGAAAATTCGAAAAGTGCCGCCGGTCTGAAAACGATTAAAACGACACTTCATAATTATATATCAATTTTTTGGTGCGAGCAGGAAAAATTGACTTTGTTTGGAGAAAAAACCGTCCGAAACGCAGTTGCAGCTGCAGCAATAGGCACGGCGCTACTCGACCATTATCGCTTGGCAGACCGTCACTGCTCGTTTAATTTATGTTTTCATTAATTGATTTTGATAGAAAACTAAAGAATTCTATCACACGTTCTGGGACAAGTTTTTTGCATAATGAGCTCACTAGAAATCTGTGATATAATATGCCGACGGAGGAGAGGCGGAGAGGAACGAAAGGTTGGTGGTGGTGGTGGTGGGATATGATTGGGAAGTGTTTTGAGAGATTTTCCATTATTTATGAGTGGAATTAGGTGATTGTTTGCCCATTTACATTTGCACACAGTCTCTCTCTCTCTCTCCCTCTTACCCTTTGTTCTAACAAAGGTTGAAGATAGTTGGGATAATTTGTCGGGAATGGGGTCTTTTATGAAAAAAAAGAAACTATTTGCTTCCCTGAAATTGGTTATTACCTTTTTACATATTTGATTAATCTCGCTTTGGAACGATTCTCTATTAGAGAGTCATTT